GCAATCATTATCATTATCATCAGCATTGGCGCCGGGCTAATACAGAAGTCACGTGTCAACCAGCCGCCGATAATAATCGCATTCGGCACATCGGCCGCCCTCTGCGGTTGAGACAACGAGATGCGCTTGCAATTTTATCAGATTAAGGACCCTCAGCAGCCACGTCGTCCCTTGAGTGTTGAGTGTATCCTTTTAGTTTACTTTTTTTTTCCTTGCTCGCCCTCAACAGGTGAGAACTGCACGCACATTGTGTGAGAATCTCAATTTTTTTCGGTTGTTTGTTTTTGTGATTCTCCTTTGTGCATATGTATCAAGTTTCCCATTGACGCTGTGATTTGTCGTTTTTATTAATTCTCATGAACTGACATTGAAACTCCTGCGTAAGGAAATCATGCAAGAGCCAAAAAGCAACAACAAAAGTTCATTTGCCGAGAGAAATGCATTAAAGCGCAGTTATGGAACTAGTTCCTAGCCAATAAATACTAAAAATGTTAACAGCTTACAAACTGACTGCTGCATTAACAGACGTGCTCAGCCATTAACAGAAGCGCTGTTAAAAATGCATTTAACAGAAAGTTTCTTGTATTCAAATTTTGGTTCATTTTTGTGGGCTTTAAAAATCAATTATAAAATATATAAACAAAATACAAATATTATTTACTTGAGTTTATAAAGACTTTTTATTGTTTATTTATTTAAGTGAAAACCTAAAGCTTATGATATGCTCCCCCAAATTACGATTTATATGAGTAATCAAAATTTTGTTAAACTTTTCCATGTTTTTAACGAGTACAGCTTAGATCTTGGGATCCTGGGGCGTGAGTTTCACAATCTTCACAGACTCCTCCCATATTTGACGCGCCTTTTCCATATCCATAGCGGCAGCACTCAGTGTCGCCTCCTTGCAGTCCATGAAGTATTTGCCCGAGACATTGGCCACCTCATCGGATGTGGCCAGATAGATGGTGGTTTGGGCGCCCGCCTTGGTCGTCTTGAAGAAGCCCTTGGTGATGGCCATCATGGGCAGGTTGAGGGGGAAGGGCACATTGCGCCAAATGCCCGAGTCAATCATGCCCGGATGCAAGAAGTTGACTGTGACATTGGTGCCCTCCAAGCGCTTGGCCAGCTCGCGGGCAAAGTAGATGTTGGCAAACTTCGACACGTAGTACAAGTAGGCGGCAGGGAAGGTGCCAATGGGATTCAGCTTGTTCACATTGACCGAAGCGAAGCGATACAGCTCCGAGGCGACGATAACAATGCGTGACGGTGCACTCTTCTTTAGCACATCGATGAGCAAGTGCGTCAGCAAGAAGGGGCCATAATGATTGGTGGCCATGGTCAGCTCAATGCCATCCTCGCTGGTCTGGCCGCGGAAGGCCAAGGCCATGCCGGCATTGTGAATGAGTACGTCGATCTTTGGCTCCGTCTTGACAATATCAGCCGCGAATTCGCGCACCGACTTCTGTGAGCCCAAATCGAGCTTCTTCACCAGAACTTTGTTGTTGTTGGTCTCCTTGACGATCTCATCTGAAGAGATAATAGTTTAAATTAGAGTGTTTACTACAGTTTATATATGTATGTATATATATACCCTTTGCAGCATTTGCTGTTTCCAGATTTCTGCATGCCATGATCACCCTAGCGCCACGTCCTGCCAGATCCTTGGCGGTCTCTTTGCCAATGCCGCTGTTGGCGCCGGTAATAATAACAGTTTTGCCTTCCATTTTCGTCTGAAATATACATATACATATACATATATAATATAATGCACATATAAGTTTTACAGTTAGTAATGTTGGCTATTTAGTGGACATTACCGGCTTACACCCTATACTAATTTTAAGTTTGTAGCTAATGTAATGACAGTGTTCTAGTCGTCTCGGTTTTTTTCCCTTCTGCTTGGTCATCAACGGCGTGTCTAATTGCCGACCCCCGTGGAAGCTCATAAAAAGCCCTGTGTATTGTTTATTCCCCCTCTCTCTCTCTCTCTCTCTCTCTCTTTCTAATTTTAGAGGTAAGTGATCTCTCGACGTGTGTAATACAAATACCGTAATAGAGTCGGCTCGACTACCAACGCACAGCTTACAAAGACTAATTAAGTCTACGTCACGGCGTGGTGAACTATTTGAAAAACTAGAGTTACACTCATAAAATTCAGTATATATAATGTACATATGTTACAGAGATATTATAGAGTACTCTAGCTGCATTACTTCTAAATTTGATGTATCAAATGTGATGCTAGATTTGTGTCAGGCTATGCTCAAAACAGAAAAGCTCATTAGTTTAACGGTTCTTAGTTCGATGATCTTAAGGTTTTGCTCATAAGTGGGAAAATTGTTTTGAAAAAGAAATAAGAAGATGCCTAGGGCAGATATAAAAAGTTCTGGAATACTGCAGAAGGCCAGAAAACTAAACTCTTTTCAATATTTAATTTGCATTTTCTATTTATATACAGTGGCTCACACCTTATTTCGTGCAGCAGCATAGTACAACTTTGAAAC